GGAAAGGTTATGCCCCGAGATATCTGTGAAACTTAAAAATCGCTTAAATAAAAGTTATAGGAACAGTTATCAACAGTAAACGATAATACCTAACTACAAAGGTTGAATTACACCATGCCGCTCTGTGTAAGTCTGTTGCTTGCTAAAATATTTGTAGGTTTACTCAGACGTAATGTTTTACGAGGTGTTTAATGGGCCTCTTACAAACACATTTTATCCAGACCGTAAATTTGATTGGTACCTACCAAATCTTAAATTGAAAGTTCACGTTGGTGGATGGTTTATCGCAATGATGAACAGTGATTGAGCAAAAAAAATACTTTACATTACATACTTGTTTTACTTCAAGTTTTCTAATAATAATGTAAGTATTTAGGTAAATAGAAACACTTTATATACAATATAGTAAAATGTTTAATTTAAAAGGAAAATGAACGCTAAAGTTAACAAAACATAATTAGACATGTTTTGCTTATGTAATGTAAGTTCACCGAACCGGGGGGCACCGAAGCCACTCAGTTATAATTTAGCTCTTTAAAATACTTCTTCCTAGATACTTTTCATTTTGTTTTGAGGTCACAAAGCCAGCACGTCATCTAAGATCCATAACCGAAACCTAGAGCTAAACGAGTCCATGTAGAGTATTGTAGAGAACGAACATATTACGTCAAATCTTGAGGTGCAACTGTAAAACGTTTTGTATTTTTTTGTTTTACACCTTTCTTTGTGTTTGAAATGAAAGTGTGGGCGAGGAGTCAAAGATTTACAATTAACACCCAGATTGGTTGTGATGTTTTTTTGATGACCGGTTTGAGCAACAGTAAAGCCGGGTCTCCAGCGCGTGTTTCGCCCTTCACAATCAACAAAAACATATCAACAATTAACAAAAAGTTTACACAAAACTTTGGATATGTGTATTAACATATTTGCATCAACAAAGTTTTTTATTTCCGAGCCTGATGGAAAACATGTACACAAATCATCCCCGCGCGGGTGGAGGGGCAGGGTAATGTTTCATCGGACATTTTTTTGAGAACTCGTTTGAGGAGGCTGTATTCCAAACCTGTGCGCTTCGAATGCAACTTTTCACTCTGACGTTGCAATTTTTACATAAAATATTTGAAAATTTTGTGAAATTTGACATTTGTTGCGCCTGCGTCGTAGATTTGGAATGCAGCCCTGCCACGTGAGCAGTAAACAGCGTGTGTAGAAAAACACATTTCATAAACAAATTTTTGTGTTAGAATGTGTTTTTGTTAAATGTTTTCAAAAAACCTTTGCTTAACCAGAGAGAGAGAGGAGACCCAGCTTAACTTTAGCTCGAAAGGTTCTAGGTTCGAAACCGAGTAAATGAGTGCATTTTTCCTTAAGATCTGGATTTTTGTATACTTTCTTCTGCTAGCGATCCATCCCATTTTTTTAACGTGATAGCCTATATCTCTCAAGATTAAAAAAGCTTTCTAATGGTGAAAGACTTTTTGAAATAGGTACAGTAGTTTTTGAGTTTAATTGATACAAAAATATAAATATTTCCCCTTTATAATATTAGGTTTGGATAATGAATTTATTGTTACTTTGTTGTACTTGTATTACGTTATTTGTCAACTAAATGGTACAGTTTAGGAATTGTTCGAAATTTATTACATTTTTGATAATATTGTTTGATTATACCATAGGTACCTAGTAACGGATGTTGACACCAGATATACGTTGATACCAGATATATGTTTTTTAACTCTTTTGTACGCGTTTGATTTTCTTATTTAATATTTTTTGCATCTGTTTATTTTTTATTAACCGTTGGGTACGCAACCCAATGAGTCCCTCTCCCCGAAGTGGCCTCGTGATGACTAAATAATAGAAGAGAAAGAGTAGGGGAACGTTACAGAAACATAACGAAGAAAGACAGGAGAAGAGTTGAAAAGAAAGGAAAATCACAAAGGGGTGAACAAACAGATAGACACTAAGGCTTGAAATTATACAACACAATTTCACATACACCTGTTACAAAATGTATCATCATAATTAATAGTTAAGATCAATATGTTACATTAGAAAATATATAATATATATATAATTATCACGGGGAGTGTTTTGAGGAATTGTTCGGATTTATTTCAGTTGCTACTTATCGCCATCGTGCATGGTGACAAAAATTTCATCCCTATCATCTTGATGCGTGGCTATCCACAACCGTGCAACAAAACTATGTAATATATTGTAGCCAGAAGTGTTTCCGGATTAATACGACCCAAAAATCTATAAAAAACAGCGCACCTTCCTCCAAGGTCGGCATTGAGTGATACTCCTGAGGTTGCAGATGTCTATGATGGGCGACAGTGATCACTTTCTACCAAGTGAGTCGTTGCTCGTACGCAAACGACTAGCGAGAATAACTGACTGAGTGGAACGACGTGTTGATTTATTCTAGTAAAATTTCCTTTAGGATTCAAAAATATTATACAATATACATCTACGAGTTTGGTATCTTTACAAGCGTTAAATATATTTGCGACAATTTAATATGTTCTTTACAAACTGATTCCATAGACGAGCTGTTTCTTAGGACCCATGTCCAAGGAAAACATCGAACATGCCAAATGTAGATGATAGATTAAAACATATGTATTTTAAAGAAGTGTATCGTGAATCATTGATTTGATGACATAATTAGTTATTTTACATAATTTAGTCAATGATAAATTAATTTTTAAACTTTTTTCTTTATGTTTTGTTATGAAGCTATTTTAACTTGCAAACGGCTCTCCCGTACAATTTATTTTTTTCAGTTGTCGAATTATGCGTAGGACGTGTCGAAATATTTGACTGAATTTGAAAATCAATTCCTGAATCTAATACCCAGTTAAGTAACTAATAAAAAGTAAATAAATAAATAATTTTTACCAAAATAATTTTTAAAAATTGGTGATAATAATGAATGAAATAAATTCATAACCTACATACCTACTTACATCGGTTTAAATAAATTAAATGATGATATTGAATTATTATCATGATTTTATATTAATTCATGGTAGAAGAAACACAATTGATTTTATGTGAACGGATAGGACATTATAGTATATATTTTGAATTGGTTTTTTATTTATTTATCGTGTCCGTTGTTTATTTCCCTTAGTACATGATCTTATAGATTAAATATTATAAAGGTGTTGCAATAATTCATAATAATATTTATTTATATGTTATTTTTTATGTGTACATATATCCTACTTGGGCAATAACTATACCTAGCTAGTTATTTACTTGTAGGTAGGTAAGTAGGTATTAGGTTATGTTTATATTAAAATATTGTATTTTTTTTATTATTAAAGTTTATATTACATAATACTAAACAAATCTAAAAATGTACTTAGATGGTAATAACTGTGTGGCCTCATAATAGTAGACCACGAAATAAAAAAATACTGCAACCACAACTTATGCAATATTCGTTTTTTAAACTTTTTGTTCAGCTTTAGACTATGGAACTACGAGTTCGCATAGATAAATGTAATTAAAGCTTGTACTATATAGCAAAGTAGGCAATGCAAAAGGTTGAAGCTCCTGCTGGTGGCACCCCGTCGGCCAAACTTTAGTTTATTTATTTGTCTTAGTTTTTTGGTCGCACGCACCGCTTGTTCGCCACATGGTCAACAGTAAACATTTTTGCCTTTTACGAGAAAAAGACACCCTAATTCAGATTGAATTAGGAATCAAAAATTTTAGTCAATGTTGAATTTCTGACATGAACTGAAAACAAATATCATCCTACTAACTCATAATGAAATCCATATTCAAATTATTTTTTACTTAACTAAAAATAGTTTTGTGACGTATTGTTAGTTAAGAAGTACCTTTTCTAGACCTTATATAGTGAAGTCATACAATCAGTACTTACTCGTACATTAGAAGCAGTTACAGGTTCATTTGATTTTAAAAAATAAAGTTTTATTTTAGATAAAGTTAAAAGTTCATATTATATTTAAATATTTCCGCTTGATTTACTGTTATTGTGATTTTGATTATTTTTGTAATTCATTCATTTCAGTTTTGTTAGTCTTATTTTCACATAAAGATGTAAATACTCCTGAGTAGAAGTTATTTGACTTACATGCTTTAAAATGCAGGCAGATGTTTAAAATGAAATTTTACTAAGTTCTTCCTACTAATTTAACCATATGCCGAAATAAATGAGTAACTCCATATTTTAATAGAAATACTCTGTAATTTTTAGGCTCAAATATGTCCCTAATATAACAAAAAATGTAACAATTAAGTAGTACAAATAGAGTTTTAATTGAACATTTTGGTAGTTTTTTCATTTGATAATTTTAATACTTTTGTTTGATACGACCAGATTAATCCTTTTATTGTTATTTTATGTATCAAAAAACATCCCTTTGTTTTCTTTATAAAGCATCAAGGTTTACCTGACTACCTAACAATTCATTATTAATTAAGGTAAAAAATATACCAATACCAATGTATGCGTCGTAAAGTCCTTAAGTATAAGTAACAATATTTTTCGTCACATAGTTTTTATGGTATCAGATGATACATCTGCTAGATAGCAGTAACATAAGATAACAATCCACTTTATGTTAAAGCTAACTTCCAAACACATGTTGAGTTTCGACATACCTATAGGTGTGAATAGAGCGGGCGGCGGCAGGGTCAGCCGCCGATCTGTAAACAGTGGTTATCGACGCGCCGCCACTTGCCTTCGCGGCATCGCCGGCTACTGCGCTATATTTATCCGCTTTGGGACTGACGCGGGTGGCTAAATCCGTTCGGCGCCGTGTGATGCCGGCCTCCTGCAACCACAACCACGTCACGAGCTACCCCGGAACAGCACAACGGTGTCCACCCTCCGGCCGCGAGGGTTGGGCACGGACGCAATTCGCAGAGCGTATTTCGCTAACGCTACGCCATTATAATGTGACAAATCGCACAGCGCTAGCATAGTTAAGGGATTTGTCTCACCTGAGAACGGTACCTCAGTAGGACTTGTGAGCTGGCGCCGGTCCGGCTGCCACGCAAGCTTGGTGATGGTAGTAGGCAGGGGCGGGCGTGCGGTAGTGATGGTGCGGCGGCGGAGAAGCTCGGTAGGCGTCAGGGCCCGGCGAACCGCCGCGGAAACCGGCAAGCTGGCAACTCGGAGGTTCGAACAAATCTCGGAACGCGGGCGGAAGCTGCTCAGCGGTCGGCTCTGGCGCTGTGTACCAGCCAGATGTCGCTGCCCTGAATTCTTCAGCGGCCAGTGCGTACGGCTGCGGTGAACAGTAAACGGCTGAAGGTGGCAACCGCGGTTCACTAAATTCATCTAGAGGTTCTGTGGGTTTTTCGTAACGAGCACACTCTGCACCAGGTTCTCTTTTAGGTCGGCATTCGAAAATTCGGGGTTTTACATCAGGTTTCACGTCGCGTGATTGCCCCAGAGCATCTGCCGCAGTCAGGGCTTCCTGGGCTGCTAGTGCCTCTTGCGCTTGTTGCAACTGCTGCTGTCTTTTCAGAGCTTCCTCTTTTTCTTTCAAAGCGTCCTTTTTTTTAAATCGGCGCCTTCTTCTAAGATATGATCCATTATCAAACATATTATACGAATCTGGATCTAACGTCCAGTAACTGCCTTTTCCAGGTTTCTTATCATCACGCGCTACTTTGACGAAACACTCATTCAGGCTCAAATTATGTCTAATAGAATTTTGCCAACCTTGCTTGTTTTCTCTATAATACGGAAAGCGTTCCATGATAAATTGATAAATTCCATTGAGAGTGATCCTACGGTCGGGTGCGTTCTGAATAGCCATAGCAATTAACGCTATATATGAGTAAGGAGGTTTAACCATATCCTTGGGCGCGCCGACGTGTTGCTGATGGGGATGAAGGTACGGGGCTCCATATCCGTATCTGTACTGCTCGTAAGCATATGGAGTGACTCCGGCTGAGTAGCCGCTGGCTGCACCACCACGGTACGCATAGGGGCTCTGTTCTCCAAAGAGCGCGTGCATCGTGTCGTATCACGTTCACTGGCACAACATGCTAAGAACACGAGCGCGGAACCCTCGACACGTTGCTCTCACGACAGCAAAACGACGACTGACTGATTTTGTTTAGATTCACAACAAGACCCGTTTACATAGCGGACGCTAAACGAGAGACGAATGAGCGGTTTCGTGGGCGCAGCCGATCGACACGCTGAGTCGGCCGAGCCCCGCCCCTCGCAGTTGTCTTGCTCTGACGTAGTAGGTCAGGATATTTTGCGTCTCTTTTGAGCAAAAAGCGACGTAGGCCCGCACGCCCAAATCGTTTTGGAGGGCGGCACCAGTAAGATTACGCTGCGGCGCTCCCCTTCCGGGCCATCCCTCGTCGTGCCCTTAATATCCATTGTGTCGCACAACTGTTGTTACTTGACAACAATGCACGCTACTCGAAGTTACATTCATAATTGCTTATTGCGTGAAAATGTCCGACACTTTATCATAGCGAATCGAAATATGTAAGTACATATCAACAAGGTTAAGTAACCTTGAATAGGTATACAATTCATTTATTACTTTTAACGGATAAGTATAGGTAATCATAATTTTAAAATTGGGGCATAATTTATAAATTAACCTACAACGAAAAAATGTCTTTATATATTATAGGCTAGTGGGTGCCTGCTACTTCGTCTACGTGGAATATAACGTTTTCCGTAGTAACTTCCACCTCCCCTTTCACCCTCTTCAGGGATGATATCTCGGATAAAAACTACCCGATGTCCTTTCCCGTGGCTCAAATTATATCTATACTTACCAAATTTTATCTAATTCGGTTCTATGATTTAAGCGTGATGGGTTTTTTTTCGAGCCTTTTGCGTTTATAATAAGTATTACCTAATAATATAAAAACTACAAAAAAGAATTTTAAATACAGTACTTTGTTAACTAAATTAACTAATAAATTCATACATAGACAATTAAGTTTTAAAAATCTTCCAATGAAATATCCGAACGCTCAATATAAGTCTTTCGAAGGTAGCTCGACAAAGTAAATAAAAAATCATTCACTTGTCGTTATAATATTTTTTGTAACTTTTTTTATCTCTAATAATATTGCGCCGAGTACTTTTCAAACAAAACCGCCGAAACGGGATATGATAAAGCTTTTTATCGAGTCTCAATTGTCAAACTCCACTGTAGTCTGACAGTTAATGCCGATATATCGCTTTATCATATCCCGTTTCGGTGGTCATGCTAGAGGGGCAGATGGAGCAATGTCAGGGTTATATGATGGGGACATGGCCCGGGGCAACGAAAGGTGCGGTGTACAAAGAGCGGCAAAAGTCAAATGAAGCATTCGTTCGTGATCTACATTTTGATTTGATTTACTAATTTAAGGAGTGTAAATCGCAAATTCGCCCTACCCATTTATTTTTAAAACTACCCTTAGTTTTAACAAAGGCTTTTAACTTAGGGTTAAAGACCATGTGTTCTGAGGACCTCAAAGAACAAGGGCATCACAAAGATGTAGTACCAGTAGCCTCGCAAAGATACATCGTCCGAGCCTCCCAATCTAAGTTAACTATCGTCTAGGGTTCGCATCACAATGCCTAGGGCCGCCTCTGCCGAATTCCAATAAGTTCTACTTACCTTAAGTATGTCAGCGGAAAATAAGGTAGGTATAAACAAATTAAATATTATAAGGTTTTAGAATAGCGGCTTTTTTGCTTGAATTGCAGTGCCAATTTGGGGAAGTAACTTCCACCTTACAGGAGACCACAGTGAAATAATACCATCTTTTAGTGGTACCTATTATAAGGTCAGATTATCACTCACGTCCGCCAAAGCTTAAAATAGAATCCATAGGCCGCTAATCATGCTGTAATTTATGCTGGAGTAGTACCATTTTTAATAACAAAAAACGGAAGATTATTCCCAGACGTCTTTCGCTTATTTTCACGACAGTTTTTTTTTTAAATATTCAAAGTTTACTAAAAATACGGAGAAAAAACTAACGCAGTTAGGAGACACCAATTAGTACGCTGTTAACAGTTTAAGGATCAGGAGTCCTCAGTCATGCCGCTTACTTATTGCCATAGGAAGTCTCAGCATAGCATTTGACGATTTGTTGACTCAAGCAAACGTGTAAGAGATTAGCTAACACGGGGCAAAAAACGAACGACCCGAGTTCGAAATTACTTGTTGATGTTAGAAGATGGATTAAAGCGCTTCCGTTTACACAAGTGGCCTAATTTTTAGTTTGCTTGCCAAAGTTATAGGTCCACGCTCTGCGATGTCAACAACATATTAATTATGTTCCTAATACTAAGTATTATTAGGAACAAGGAAGAAAACAAAGAGGACCTTTATTCACTTTGTTTTCTTGTGAAGAGATGAAATTGAGTTTTCTTAGAACAAGATTTCCACTTATAAGGAGGAGGAATACACTACAAGAGAGAGAGGAATGGTTTGATCGGATAATGTATGAATGACATGTCTGCTGTGAGTAACCTACGCCCAGCGTAGGTACTCACCAAACTAAGTATTTGTTTCTAACTTTTTAAGTTTATGAGTTTTATTTTTTTCTTTGGGCACTATAGTACAGTCAATCTGTCGAAAAAAATATCGTTTCAGTGAAAAAAAAACCTAAAGGGTAAGTCTTGTTTTTTCTGTTGCCAAATGACGTCAGTAAGCCACCTTGGCGATGGGCATGTTCAACTCGTAGGCGTTTTTTGAAAAACTCAAAAAAACCGTCAAAAATTTTTTTAAACGCATTTTTCTTGTTTTGTATGCATTTTAGAAACTTTTTTTCGACCATTATTGTAGAGGGAGTTGAGTGCTACAATTTATGTCATTGTTGCAATCTCGTACAACAAAAACTGCACATTGTAGGTGGCGCTAAGTCTCTAGAAAGTGTTTTTTCACTTTTTCACCCTGAAAATATCATTTTAGTGGAAAACTTTAAATGACAAAGTTGTTTCGTACATAATTACCAACAACTTTTGTATAAAAAATTTTTTGTATTACTTACCGTTTTCAAGTTATAAATTGCGCAGGCATGAAAAATCCAATAGAGCGGTTTTGGGCAGTTCAAGTACACATTTGCAGTGCACATTTCAATGTACGTTTTACTATTTTTTATTTTTTTTCATGATTGAAAAACAAAAAAAAATAGTTTTATTTTTATTTTTTTTCATGATTGAAAAAACAAATAGTAAAAACGTACATTGAAATGTGCACTGCAAATGTGTACTTGAACTGCCCAAAACCGCTCTATTGGATTTTTCATACCTGCGCAATATATAACTTGAAAACGGTAAGGAATACAAAAAAATTGTTTTTACAAAAGTAGTTGGTAATTATGTACGAAACAACTTTGCCATTTAAAGTTTTCCACTAAAATGATATTTTCAGGGTGAAAAAGTGAAAAAACACTTTTTTTGACACTTTAGCGCCACCTACAATGCGCATTTTTTGTTGTACGAGATTGCAACAATGACATAAATTGTAGCACTTAACGTCCTCTACAATTATGGCCGAAAAAAAAGTTTCTAAAATGCATACAAAACAAGAAAAATGCGTTTCAAAAAATTTTTGACGGTTTTTTTAAGTTTTTCAAAAAACGCCTACGAGTAGAACATGCCCATCGCCAAGGTGGCTTACTGACGTCATTTGGCAACAGAAAAAACAAGACTTACCCTTTAGGTTTTTTTTCACTGAAACGATATTTTTTTCGACAGATTGACTGTACTATGACGCTATATGTAAGTTGCTTGATATGTAAGTCAGTAAGTCACTCAGTCAGTTTCTTCTTTAAAATGAAGTGTTTAATAGGTCTTAACCTATGAAATTTCCGTTTTTCATGAAACAAATTAACGCCCCTTTTTCTTTATTTTGTATTTTTATTAATTAAAGTAACTACCCATGCAATCAATGCATTTTTGACATCGTATGATAGCTTATTGAAAAGCCCTTTTTGAATAGTCTGCTGGACGGGAGGCAACAAATTCTACAAAGGCAATTTGAACCGCCTCTCAGTTATTGAAATTTTTTCCCCGCTAAGAAATTATCCAAATTCTGGAAAAAGTAGAAGTCCGTAGGGGCAAGGTCAGGTGAGTACGGTGAATGAGGGAGAATTTCCAAACCAAGTTTCCAAGACGAACAACTATTCCAAGTTACAAGTTAAGAGCTGGCTCTTGTGTGCCTGTAGAGCAGTGCAAGGCTCGACTCGACGCGTACTTCGCGCTGGCGAAGTACGCGTCGAGTCGAGTCGGCGATCATTCAATTTAGCAAGCTTTTTTACCTTGCTAATTTGACGCAAATGGACCACTATTGTTTGAATGCTAACATCGAAAGCAGCTGCCAATTCAGCTATAAATTTAGAATCATCAGCTTCCACAATCGCATTATTCATCATTGTCGACTAAAATTTTCGGTCGACTAAAGTTTATTGAGTCAAAATTTCCAGATCGGAAGCGGGCAAACCAATAAACACTCTTTATTTCCCTGTAAGCCATAAGTGTCGAATAAATCACTGGGGCTTCGTTAAAAATATAGGACAAAGACCAGGCAACCAATCTGAACCCACTTTAAATATGCCAAAGTAAAATTCGAGGATTTAATCGTCACATGGCCCACTCCCCAGGGAATACGGATCTGAATATTCTTTCTAAAATTAATTTAAAATGTTCTCCCAAACAGTGACAGACATTCTAAGATCAACTACTGCTAATGAAATTAACATCAGCCTATCAATGTCTCCACTGGGGTGCTCCATGGCTGAGGCACATGCCTGTCTTATGGATGGAATTGGGAGATTGGGCCATGACCACCCACGCGGACCCAGTGCTGATTGGTGGGTGCTAGCGACTGCATTGCAGCCGGGATCAACAGCTTAACGTGCCTTCTGAAGCATGGAGGAGATCGAGATAGTAAATTTTTGGTCACCCATCCAATGACCGACCACTGCGAATTTTTTTTTACTTCAATGATCGCAGCCGAACGTGCTAACCACTTTCGCCATCGAG